CCCCCGCCCGGCCTCCCTGGCTCCCCCTCCGGCCCGTCCCCGCGGCGGCTCGGCCGGCTTACTTCCAAACGAGGGTCGGGGAGAGGCGCAGGGAAGCGTCCCAGACCGGGTCCTCCAGAGGACTCCAGAGGCGCCGAAGAAGGGGGAGCGGCGCGGGACAAGGAAGTGCGGGCCAGGCAGCCCCACCTCCGGGAAAGTCCCCGCTGACGGACAGGCCGCTCACCCAATCGCACCGCGCGCTTTGGGCGGCCGGGCCGCGGGGGGCGGGGCCCAGCGAAGTAAACAGAGGCGCCGGGGCGGGGCTCCAGCGAGCGGAGCGGGCCGGGCCGAGCCGAGCCTAGCCGAACCCAGCCGAGCCCAGCCGAGCCCAGCCGGTGGGGAGCGCTGGGGGGCGCGGGGGGCGGGGGCGGCAGGCTGGCCCTCCTCGGTCCTCTCCGGCGGGCGGCACCCCCTGTCCCCCAGGCCGCCGCTGTGCGCCCCGAACCCGGGAGTTGCAGGGCGGAGGCGAGCTGCAGACCCCGGCCCCTTCCCTCTGCGGGGGGACTCGCCGACGACGGCAGCGCGTGCCGGGCGGCGCGGGATCGGGCGCGGGGTTCCGTCCCCGCCGCCGGAGCTGGAAGCCCCCGTGGTTGCCCCGCCCCCAGCGCCCGCGGCTCCAGACGTGGTAAACACTGCGTAGGTCGTTTCGTTCGCAAGATCAGCTGGTTGCAAAATGCAACCTCAAAAGTTGGATTTAGTTTTCCTTTAGAGACGAGGGCTGCTGCACACGTCCTCTGGCCCGGGGCACGCACGGCTGCCCCGCCCCGTCTCAGCCCAGGGGCAGCACCAGAACGCGAGCGGGGCCGAGGCCAGGTCGGGCCAACTGCCTTCCGTTGGGCCGGGAAGGACGGACAAGCCCAGGCGCGTCTGTTGTTCCGTCGCGGCGCACCTGTGCAGGGGAGGTGGCGATTTCCGTCTGCTCCGGACCGCGAGCCTGACTGACTGGTGGCGACTCCAGTGAGTTAGGATGACCTCGATGCGGGATGAACCGAGATTCAAACCCAGGTGGGCAGATGCAGAAGCCACCCTCTATCCCGTCTACCTATGTACAAAAGGGTGCTCCGTAAGCCCAAGTGAGGTCTTGAGTTCGATTCCTGGTACCAAAAAATGAAAAATAAAAAAATGAAAAAACCAAGAGGCGGAGGGTTTTCTGGACCAGTAAGGAGCAGTATAATCTCTTGCTTTAAGATTAGGAACACTTGGTTTTTGTTTCAAAGCCCATCGTTTTATTTAAAGGAAAGTTTTTAATTCCAAAAGGAAGAAAAACGACTTTGGAATAAAGGACAACGCGTTAGACTGGTTAAATACAGCTTTATGACAAACCTATGGGAAGAGACCCATTTCCCTGGACTTCTTGAAAACTTGGTCATCAATAGTCACTCATGTTTGGAAAGGCTTGGGGGGAGTGTTTCACACGTGCCCTCGTTTTACAGAGGAGAGAGCCGTCAGTCACCTGTGTCACCTGAACAGACACCTGCTCTGCGACACAGAAGAGTGTGGCCGCACCGTGGAGCTTCCTGTGCAGCTTAGGGCCACACCGGATGCTCAGTTACTTCAAAGGTGTTAGCAAGTTTTCAGAAAGAGTGTTCTTCTCAGTTATGACAAAAAGTAGGCATGTAGCTTAATCCGGAAGGGAAGAAGGGGGGGCGGTGTAAATACCAGAGTACCATGGATGTCGCCCTGGGGGTGAATAGGAGCCTTGGACACCGCAGCCCGCACAGCTGCAGCCGGGCATCGTTTCTGTGCATTTAGGCTCTAAATCTTTGTTTTCTCCTTGCTCCTCCCCTGTGCTTCTCAATTTACCTCCTTCTGGAATATTCTCTTCCTAATCCCAACCCAAATCTTCACGCTTACCCCCTGTAAGTAATGGAATTTACTTAAAAATGAAGAGCCAGGGCTGGGGGTACAGCTCAGTGGTAGAGCTCTTGCCTAGCTGGGCTTCCATCCCCAGCACTGGAAAAAAAAAAAAAGTCCCCAACATTTTGCCCTTGGTTTCTACACCGTGGCTGTTTTTGTGAAACCATGACTTTGGACAGTGGGGCACTCTCATCCCTCCGAGAACTGGACGACTCCTTGTGGCCTCCCTGGGGAAGGTTTGAGCTTGATGTACAAGTTTTTATTTTTCTGTAGCTTTGTTTTTGTTTGTGGCACTGGGGATTGAACCCAGGCCTTCTCACAGAGCTACATCTGCGGCCCTTTTTTCTTTTTTCTTTTGAGACAGAGTCATGAAGTCACTAAATTGTCCAGGTTGGGCTTGAACTCATAATCCCCTGCTCGGCCTCCCAGAGTGCTGGGATTACAGGTGTGCACACCGTGCCCAGCTTGGGGTGCCTTTGCTTAACAGTTACAGTGACGAAACCCATCTGCCCAAAGTCATAATTGTCCCCACCCTTCTGTCCTTTTAAGGCCCGATAGTGGGAGCCATTGGTCACAGTCCCCCACTTGACAGACGGGTGAACCCAGGCCTCTGTCCATAGGGATGCCCCAGGCCAAGCACATGGAGTGATGACCGAGACTCAAAGCCAGGCTGGCTACCAGCTTGTGTCCCTTGCCCACAGCGCTTGTTGTCTTCACAGGGTTTTTCTCACGTGTTTACAGATACTTGCTCTAGAGCTGGGCATGTTGGCACACGCCTGTAATGCCAGCACTTGGGAGGCTGAGGCAGGAGGATGGCTTTGAGTTTGATGCCAGCCTGCAATACATAGGGAGACTTTCTCTCAAACAAAACAAAACAAAAGCCTGAAACTGCTCTGCTCTATCTCGAACGCAGGCTGTGGATCACACGGGATTGAAGCCCCTACTCAACCGTTTACTATCCGGTGGCCTCTGAGCCCCAGGGTCCTTTCTAGAAAATGGGCAGAATGTCGCTGCCCCTCAGGTGACCTAAGGATGAACGAGATCATACGAAGGCCGAAGCTCAGCACAAAGGAGGCATTTGAGAAACGAGAGTGGTGCCGAGGTGTGGTTGCAGGTGTTGAGTAAAATTTCACTGTTAAACCCAGTACTGCAACCTCCACAGATCCCCTGTACCTTCTCAGGGCAGGGAGGGGATGGGAGGCAGGCCCCCTAGTCTGGCACCCCCTGCTCCCCTGGCCTAGAAGGGGATTTCCAAGTCAGGAAGCTGGCCTGATGCTTAGAGCTGAGTGACTCAGGCAGGTGGCAGCCTCTTGCTCTTCCAGAGTGACAAGCACCATGCAGAGCCCCACCTAGAGCACTCTGGTGCCAGTGTTTTATTTTATTTTGCTTTGTTGTGAAGCATGCAACTTCCCAATTGTTCTGCCACTCCCTCTTCCTCCGCCATCTCTGCCCCGGGTAGCTCCAAATACACATTTGGTTGTTGTTTTTTTTTTTTTTTTTTTTTTTTGCGGTACCAGGGATTGAACTCACGACCTTGTGCTTGCGAGGCAGGCGCTTATGCCATTGAGCTATATCCCCAGCCCCTCCAAATACACATTTGAAGGAAATAAAAAAATACCCCCAAACCCACCCATAACTGATGCAGCTCTAAGCAAGTGCCCGAAGAGAGGAAGAGGCTACATTTTAAAAATCATTCAAAGGTAGCATGGGTGTCTGCTGTACACTAGGCTGGCACTTTTACACAGTCTGTCTCCCAGCCAGCCTGGGAGGTGAGCACCAATAGCCCCATTTCACAGAGGAGACAGGCTTCGAGATGACCGATGCGATCCTGAGCAGCAAGCCCCGGAAGCACAAAGAGCCAGGTTCTTAAACCCATGCCACTGCTAAGCATTATGGTGAGCATTAAGCATTATGAAAAGGTTTTTATGAATGACCCCTTAGCACACACCTATAAACCCGACACTTAACGAGGCAGAGGCCAGGACTGTGAGTTTTAGGCCAGTCTAAGCCACATACATTTTTTTGGTCTTTAAAAAAAGAGATGCTGGGCATGATGGTGCACGCCTGTAATCCCAGTACTCCAGAGGCTGAGGCAGGAGGATTGTTTCGAGTTTGAGGCCAGCCTGGGCTACAAAGTGAGTTCCAAACCAGCCTGAACTGCATAGTGAGACCCTGTCTCAAAAAGACAAAGAAAAAAGAAAGAAGGAATGAAAGCGAAAGAAATAATCTTAAGATAAATGACAAATTTTGCAATAGAGATATCAACAATAAAGGAAAAGAAATGATCAAATCCAGCCTTATCCTTGTAGGAATGCAGCCACACCGAGGGCCAGAGAGGCACCAGACTTGTAGGAACTCTTACGCAGACAGAGTTGCGGCTAGTTTTCAGGACTACAACCAAGACTCCTGGTCGCCCGGTGCCCTGCACAGCCCTGCTGACTGGATAGGGGGCTTCTAAACCAGACGGGCCTGTGCCTCGCTCCCTCAGGAGAAGGCGTGAGCTCTGACCCGGGCCTTGGCTGGGGTGACGGAGCTATGGAGGGGGCAACGAGAGAGAGCGGTGCAGGGTTCGCCCTTGGATCCACAGCCCGAGTCACCCCAGGAGCGTAAAGCCCTGCAGTAGGTTCTGCATACTCTTTGGTGCCGGGTGTGTATGTATACCAAGGAGGGGTGTGGGTGATTCTTAAAGGAGGTGAAGCATATCACCCACATGATACTGACTGAAATGGGGTGCCAGGTGATCATGATTTTTTTTAATGTAAGCAATAAATACACCACCAATGCCTGTGGTCCCAGCTTCCCTCCCTCAGCCTAAGGGAACATTTTAAAATTCTCTCTACCAACCTCCCCGAGAGGACAGCCAGCTGTTGCGCTCATTCACTCAGCATCTGAAGGCAAAAGCAACCGTGTACACCCACACCCTGCCCCTTTCCCAAGAGACAAGGCATGCAGGTGTTACGCATGGGCTCCAGAGTCAGACAGAGCTAGGTGGGACTCCCAGCCCTGCCGCCTGCAGTCTGTGCGTCAGTTTCCTTACCACTGCCACATTCACCAGACGGGATTAAATGCCACAGAGCTTGCGGGGGGCGGGGAGGGGGAGCGGGGATTACGTCATTAACCCTAGGGGGCAGGAGGGAACGGTCATGTTTCCCTAGGAGGACCCCAGGCCCGCGGCTGGGGTCAGCTTGCCTGGAGCTCTAGGAGCCTGGGAGGCGAACCTAAGGGCTTTTCCCCCAGGCTCCTTCCTGTTTCTTCTCCATCCCTGTGTCCCTGGCCTGCCTGTACTCCTCGCTGTCCAGGGCGCCATGAGAGATGGTGAGCTGACGCTGGGGAGAATTCCCAGCCTCGTCAAGCACAGGGCCCTGAGGCCCCGCCCACAGTCCCCCGAGTCCTGGTCTCCCTGCTCCAGCCTCTCTCCCTGCGTCCACGAGGGGCGTCACACTGGATTTGGGCCGGGACCCAAGCTTGCCCCTCATCCTCCTGGAAGCGAGGAGGGCTCCGCTGCCCACACCCTGGCGTTTCCTGACCCTGGAAGCCCTCACAGGGCTCTAGAGCAACCTCTTCGTCCCGCCCTCTGGCCCCCGCAGGGCCACTCTCCTTGGGCCTCCTCCTTCGCCCTGAGACGCTGTCCCTCTAATGTGGCCTCAGTCCTTGCTCCTCCCGGCCTGGGACTTCCCTGATCAGCTCTGGGAAAATCTGTCCTGTCTGTGATCAGAGGAAAGGCCACGAAGACCGTCTGCTGGCCCAGGGCCTCAGCCTCCCTGTTAAAGGTTCACCCTCAGAAAGGTCAGGGGGCCCGCCGAGCAGGCAGGACAGAGGAGGGGTCCGTCTGCTTCCAGACTAGGGAAGTCCCAGCTTCCACAGTGCCGCCCGGGGGGCTGTGTGCCCCGGCCGGGCAGTGCCCAACCCCCCGCAGCCGCAGCCTGCAAAACTCACTTGCCCGCGTGCACGTGTGTCTGTGCATCCGGGTTGTCCACACGCACGCTCGCACACAAGCGACCCCGCAGACGCGCCTTGCAGGGACCCACACACATCCTCTTCTGGGGACTCCCCGACACAGATGCGCCTCGCTTCACACGCGCACACGTTCGCACTCGGGCACCTCCTCCTGAGCGGGGTGTAAAACAGAGGCAGGCCTTTCTTTTTCTTGCCTTTGGAGAAGCCAGCAGCCACGGGAGAAGAAAACACTGGCCATGAAGGCAGGGCACAAAGGGGGGCCGGAAGAGGAAGCGGGAGATGGGGAGAGAAGTCAGGAGGAGGCCGGGCCAGGAGCAGAGGCCCAGAGCCCCAGCTGGTGCGGGCAGAGCCAGCAGGGCAGGGCAGGGATGCCCCTCAGCTGGCAGGAAAGAGGCCAGACAGCCGTGGGTACAAGCACAGGCTCTGGTGACCACGCACCCCTGCCAGGAGCCCTGGCCTACCTGCTCTGGCCTGGGCCGCTCACCTGTGACGGGCAGGAAGCTTCGAGGGTGTGCGCAGCGGGGCTGCCAGCCCTGCGCAGGCTGCGTGCTCACTGTGCTCTGCAGGAAGGAGGGCCAGGCGGCTGACTTAGGCAGAGGGGAATTCCCCGCCACGGCGCCACGGAGGAGCCAGCCACCCGCAGCCCCACGAGGCCCTGCTGCGGCCCCACCCGCCCTTGGCCCTGCTGTCTGCCTCCACCTGTCACTCCCCCGGCTGGCCGTCGCTTGCTGTGAATTCCAGGGAGGGGAAGTGGCTCTGGCACACAGCCGCAGGCCCGGTCCTTGGGGCGCAGGGACGGAGGTCGGGCGGGTGACCCGGCCTGCCTGCCTGGATTCTCCGGGGGACCTTGGTTTCCTCCTCTGCCTGAGGTGGGGGATTCCAGTGCTCAGAGCCGAGGAAATCACCAGATGTCCGGCCTGCATCCTGCTGCCTTGTCCCTGTTCATCCGCTTCTACCTACTGTTCTCCGCGGCTCCTCCTGGCAGCATGCTCAGCTCCAGGAGACCTGGAGAGCCGGCCCAGAGCTGTGGGAGACCCTGAGCGGGTCAGCTCAGCGGAGCCTAGGCAGCCCCCTCCCTAAGCGAGGAGGAGTCCCGCTTGGCCAGGCTTTTGACATCAGAATGAAATTAGAATCTGGGTTTGCAGACATCCTTTTGTACACTACTGACTAGAGTCCAGGTCTCTGTACTCCACACTCTGTGAAGGTGGGAAGGGGATAGGAGGGAGGAGGTCACCTGCCTGAGCTGGACTGGCTGACTTTCTTTGAGACAGGGTCTCATCTCCAGTTCAGCCTGGCCTTGAACTCACAGCAGTCCTCCTGTCTCAGCCTCTCTTTCCTGCCAGCTGAGGTGCTGGGATTATAGGTGTGCACCACCATGCCCGGCTGGATTTTCTTGATATTCCCGGTTCTGGAGCTTCTTCACTCTTCCAGCAACATTTATGGGTCACTGGCGACACAGGAATGAGCCAATCTGACCCACATTCTTTCCCTTCAAAGCTCAGAGACACTGGGGTGTCCCGCTCCGTAGAGTAGCCGTTACCATACGCGACAGTGTAGATGTAAATCAGTTACCATTGCACGCCTCGGAAGCACTAGGTACATTTCCAGTGCTCAACAGCCGCGCGTGCATACGCAGCGCAGGAGCTTCTGCCGGACAGCCTCGCCCTGCAGGCTGCAGGCCACGGAGTCGGTGACTTCAGTAAAGTACAGATATATTTGGACAGGAGAAACGCAGGAGCCGAGACAGAGGCGTGTGCCTGGGCGGGATTTGAGGCTCTGGGAACCTTCCTGGAGGAAGTGACTTCTCAGTTGGGACTTGAAAGTAGCCAAGCAAGAGCATAAGGCAGGGGTGCTCAGCAAAGGGAGCTGAACATGCAAAGAAGAGACAGAGTACCTCCAGGGTGCTCCTCCTGCTGCAGACCTGGAGAAGCAGGCGGGGCCGGGTCACCGGGGGCCTCAAACAGCCCTGGGGAGAGGCCGCAGGCTGGGAGCAGCCCCAAGCCAAGTCCACTAAGTTCTGCCCCTGTGAACTGGGGCCAGAGAGGCTTCCTGGAGGTGGCCCTCGCCTTACAGATGAGGCAGTGAGGCAACCGCAGGGCTCCTGACTCGTGCTGCAGTGCTCCTTCCCGCACCGCACAGTGCCCTGTGGGACTGGCCACTTCCTAAGGGCTCACTGGCTGTTCCTCCTCCGGGAGCCTCTCTGGCCTCCCCACCTCGGCGCTCCCCTCCAGATGCTGCGCTTCCAGGCCCTCCCCGGCTTCCCTCCCCCGGAACATGTAACCCGGTGACGACGACTGGTGCAATTCGCTTCATGTCTGCCTGAAGTGATTCTTCTCAGCCGCGTGATTTTGTCCCCATGGGACATGGGTCCATATCTGTAGACATTTTCAGGCATCACAGCTAAGGAGGGGTCAGTAATTGGCATTTAGAAGGCAGAGGCCAGGAATGCTTCTGCACAGTCACGGGGCGTACTGCAATATCCGGGGCCTCGTAGATAAAGATGCACCATAGTGTTTTGTTTTTGAAACAGGGCCTTGCTATGTGGTCCAGGCTGGCCTCAAACTTGTGGTGATCCTCTCCTGCCTCAGCCTCCTCTCTGAGTGCTGGGATTACAGGCACGCCAGAGTTTCTGTGGGCCTGCTTCTCCAGTGAATGGCGCTGGCCCCACGCGTCCACTGTGCTGAGAATCTGTCAGTAGGGAAAACCTGTGCTAGAGTGTAAGTGCCAGGTGACCCCCGCTCCCCTCGCCCTCTTCTTCGTGTTACTGGGGATGAACTAGAGCCCCACAGTGCTAGGCGAGCACTCTACCCGAGTCACATCTCCGGTCCTTTTGCTTCTTGAGTTTTGCTTCCTTCCCAGTGCCCAGCAGAGGGCAGGGAACTGAGCGCCCGTGGAAGCAGGCTGGGGAGGTGGGAAGTGAGCTGCAGAACGAATCGCTAGGACCACGCCACACGGGACCGCTGCACACTACGTTGCTGATGTTGGGATGGGGGACCCGGGAGATGCGTAGGGGGAGATGAGCTGGGGTGCACGGGGACTGGACTGCAGCCCCATTCTGGGCTGGAGTTTTGCCACCATCCTGTAAGCAACAAGGGGCCACAGGGTGCTGCATTTCCACCAGGGAACCCTTTTCCAGGGCTGAAAGTGACCTGATTTGAGGACAGTGAAAAGTATGTCCTGGGAGAGGGGATTTCACTGATTAACAACTATTCAAGTCTTGAATCCCCAAAATACCCCTCCCTGTTTTGTTGCTAGGCAGTGGTAAAGAATTGCCCGAACAGCTGGAAGCAGTTTTTTTAGCCTGTGACTAGATATGAAAAAATGCAACACATGGCGTCTACGTGTGTCTGCTAGTGACCAGGCCGCTGCCGCGGCTGACTCAGCGCGGCGCCCTCAGCAGCGGCTCCCCCTCCCGGCTCACCTTCCCCATCTGCAGCAGTCAGCTCCTTGCCTGCCGTGACCCCGGGAGTGGGAAAGGGGCATCTGCTAGGACAGTCCCATGAAGGATGTTCTTTTTTGTTTGTTTTGCCTTTTTTGAGACAGGGTCTCGCTATGCAATTCAGGCTGGCCTTGAGCTCACTTTGTAGCCCAGGCTGGTCTCAAACTTGCAACAATTCTCCTGCCTCAGCCTTCGGAGTGCTGGGATTATAGGCGTGCGCCACCACGCCTGGCATCTATGAAGGACATTCGTGGCCCGGTGTTTTGGCTTTAGGATTATCTGGCCCGTTCGGTCCTGAGTGGGGCCTTAATCATCAGTTCTCAACCGGCTGCATATTTGAATGACCCGGGGAGCTTTGTAAGCGCTATGATGTCCGGTCCCAGCCCAGACTCACTGGGTCAGACCCTGCGGGGTGAGGCCTGGGTGTGCGTGAAGTGACTGAAGTGTGTGAGCGGTGACCCCTGCCCTAGAAGCTGCCTTCTTCATATTTGGTTCCTTATTTTATTTTTTTAATGCTCGGTTCTGATGCAGGTGGTCCAAGGACCTCACTGCCTTTGGGTCACCTTGGTCCTGCAATTTATTTTCCTTTGTGTCCCAGGAAGGTGCCTTCTCAGAATAGGTCAGAGACCACAACGACAAGAAACCCTAGACTCTGGAGAGAACACAGCCCCATCCCTCTTTTTCTGGGTCACAGAACATTAGACAGGGTAAATGTGAAAGAAAAGATTAAAACTCAAACAAAGTTAGTAAGAGGAACTGGGATACATGAAATTCTGCCAGTATTTGAAAAGACAGGATTCAGGGATGTGGTTTTTTTGTTTTGTTTTTGTTTTTTGTTTTGTCTTTTTGAGACAGGCTTTCATTATGCAGTTCAGGCTGGCCTTGAACTCATTCTGGCCTGGAATTTGCAGGGACCCTCCTGCCTCAGCCTCCTGAATGCTGGGAGTCTACCACCATGCCTGCCTCAGGGATTCGTTTTGCAAAAGTGTGCTTTCCAAGGAAACCGGCACAGAGGGCTGTGATGCAAGATTCTTGTCAAAGAAAGAGGATCCAAGAACCAGTGTTGAAAGACTGTGCTGCCGAAGGAAGTGGTTTCTGAGTCCATCAGATCTGGAGCAAAGCTCAGAGATTCTCTCACCAAGCTCACTGGACAGTGGAGAAACAAAGGCCGGGGGAGGAGAAGGCCAGGGCTGAGGGCTGGGTGTTGTGGATGAACTAGCATTACAGCCCTGGCTTCCTGACCACCTGCTTCCTGCCGCCCTGCCCTCTGCTCCTGTCCAGGTCCCTCGTCCAGGCTCCACACCTCCACCCTCTGCACAATGCCACGGCCAAAGGGTGAGACTAAGGCCGTGCGCCTCGATCGACACCGCCTCTGCAGACCCCCTGCAGACGGCAGGGCTGCTGGGGCGAGGCAGAGAGGAAGCGCAGTCTGATGATGTGTCCTAACCTCAGCAAGGAAGCCTGGTCACGGGGGAATTTCCCAGGGCGAGGGCTCGTGCATATGCAAAGGCTGCACCCCACCCCAGGACGGAGAGGAGGAGGAGAGAGGACATGGGCAGAGAGACGGTGACAGACCCCGAACACCCCAGGCTCTTCCTCTGCTTCACCTCCTTGTGTCCCCAAAACATGTTCCAGTCTGAAAGCTGGCAGCCTGGGGCCCAGGGAGGAGGTGGGCCGCGGGAGGGAGGGAGACACCTGCTGCTGCAGGCCTGAGGTGGGAAGCGAGCAGTTTCATTCTAGGGTTCCATCTCACTCACCGGGGAACTTTATCCGGGGAACAGGGCAGGGAGTGACACTGACTCTGCCTTTCCAGGCCCTGCAGAGGCCGGTGGAGTCAGTGGGGCGCCGCACACCGGCTCCCAGCACCTCCAGCAAGGAGACTGGGCTGGGACCGCCTCCTCGGAAGAAGGATCTCTGTGCCTCCCGTCTCTCTCAGCACCCCGCCTTTCTGTCCCTGGCCCCAGGCACTGCGCAGTTCTCCAGGGAGCCACCTCACCTCCCCACAGTCAGGCATCAAAAAGTCAGGTGCTCGTCAGGGCTGGGAAGCCCAGGGCGGGCCCTTCCTGTCCTGGACGGGGACTGAGGGTTTCTCCTGTCACAGGCTCGTGCCCAGACACCTGGGCCGTGCCTGGAGTTGCGCATGGCACACGGAGACACGAGCTGAGGAGCGTGTGCATCCCCATGAGTGTGAGGAGCAGGTCTGGACACCTGTGAGGCGCTCCTGTGGCGGGGTGTGTGTGTGTGTGTGTGTGTGTCTATACACACTGTGTACTACATACACCAACACAGCGGCTGTATTTCTGGCTATTACGGATGGGCCCAGCAGTTCTATTTTTCTCTGTGTGGTCAACAGTGTGTGCTCCTGTGTCTGCTCCCAGCGGAGCGTGTGCCTGTGTATCGCCAGCAGTGCGTTTCCCATCCTGGGTACCACAGTGTGTGTGGCAGGCAGTGCCCGTGGGCGCCGAGTGGAACATCAGTTTCTCTCCCGCTCTGCTATCTTCAGGTCCTCCCTAGTCCAGGCCGAGTCCTCAGGTGGGGTGCCCAGGGAGGGGGCCCTGGCTGCAGCTGGCTGCACAACGGGCAGATGGTGGTAACTACGAGGAAGGGGTGGGACCGTGCATAGAAGGAAATACATGTGCTAGAAGCTTCTAGAACAGCGGGGCCTGAGGGAGGGGCCCATGCGCAGAGGGCAGTGGCTGAGGGTTTGGCAGGCCTTGCCCAGCTGGTGAGGCCTCGTATCCTGCCTGTAGAAACCCCTCCTGCTCCTGGGTACCCAGGTGATGACAGCTGGCTTGCATCTGCCGCGCCCTCTGCTCCCCGGAGCAGGATGGACCCCATCCCGTTTCCTTGCTCTGCTGTGTCTTTTTCCCACGTGGGCTCCCCGCCCCAGCTCGCACCCTCAGGCCTCCACACTGGCCTGCCCCTCCCCGCTGTGGCCCAGAGCTGTCTTTTCTAAAGGGCACCTCTCTTGTGCCTCGCCCCGCCCCTGGGATACTTGGGGCTACCCGGACCCGGAGGGTGAAGTGCACGGGCCCTTCCCTGGGTTCTCCTGGCTCCCTGGGCGGTGTCCCCACGGCCTCCAATGGCCTCTCCCCGCCACCTGCTGTGTACCGCTTCTCTGCCTCTGAACCGGCTGTCCAGGGCCACTCAGGAGCTCTGCGGCGCCCCCTGTGGTTCACCCTGGCCTCTGCACTCAGCTCCCTCGTCTCCCCGTGCTTAGCGGGTTTGGTCCAATAACCTACTTTCCCCACCTCGCTCCCGGAGGCTGAGGGCGCAGCGTGGCCAGGGTGGCTGCTGGGCGGCCCCCTCTGCAGCTGTTACTTTTCTGTGAAACAGAACTCCGCCCACCATTAACCCTAAGGGGCGAATGCATTCGGGGCCCATCCTGGACCCTGCGCAGCGTGTGCAGGAGACGCACAGGCCTGGTCTTGCTTAATCCTCACGACACTGCGAGACAGAGAGCCTTGCTGTTCACCTTTCACAGGCGGTCAGGCCTGTGCAGGGCAAGCGCCGGGACCCCTGCCGGTGGCTGACAGGGATTCAGGGTCAGGCTGGCCTGCTGCTGGGGACCTCAGCGCAGAGGCCGGTTCGTCACGAGGATTTCCCACTTGCCTCACTCTGACTGCAAAATGGGGAAGTCTCCTTCGGGAACCCCGAGGTCTGGCAGGGAAGGGCGCACGCTGATTTACCGCTCTGGGTTCTGAAATCCTGGTTGGGCAACTTGCCCCTTCTGCCTTCCACCGCCAGCTGCCCGGGTCCGCCATCAAGAGGGACAGGAGGAAGCATCAGCGAGACAGCAGAGCAAGACCCAGGAGCCCAGGGTCCGGGCGCCAGACCCGGCCCGCTCTAACGGCGAGGCCACAGCCCTGCTCTGCGGCCTGTCATGGAACGTGTCACACAAGTGCCGGCTGGTGTCACCGTGTGAGGACTGCAGGCACTTTGTCCTGCGCTGGGAGCCGGTGTCCCCCCGTAACAGCGCTCATCCCCTCCGCTGTAAAGGAAGCACCACGGCAGCCACGGAGGAGCGGCTTTCCTCCGATCTCAGCCAGGCCCAGGCCCGGTAACCACCGGGTCTCGGCACACACAGCCAGGGGCTCCCACACCGCTCTGCCCCGGCAGGAGGCGCGGGCATGGAGCTGCCCGGAGAGCCGCTCTCCGCTGAGGTCAAAGGGCAGCTGCTCTTCTTTCAGAGCTTTCCCCACGGCCAAAGTGGGAGCTTGGCTCTTCCCAACCCCAAGTTCTGAACCGTGCTTTCCTGGAGGGGTGGGAGGGGCGCTGTGGGGGGCTGCGGAAGGTGACCCTGGCCTCGTGCTCACTTCAGAGGGTGACCACAGTGAAGGGACAAAGTGTAAGGTGCTTGTAAAAGCTCTGGAGCCAGGCCACAGCCAAAGGTCCAGTTCTGTCTGCGGTGAGGCCGCCGTGACCCTGGGCTGAAGGCTTGCGCTCTGTGGAGGTGACAGCTGTCTCAGCCGTCACCAAGGGAGGCGGGAATCTGAGAACAGGGCGGCCATGCTCCCTGGCTCCCGCCCTGACCCTGCAGTGGTTTGAGCTTCTGCTTTCTCTTTCCTTTCAGATTAATTTAGCCCCCACCACTTCTCCTCTTGGAACTTTTGGCCACAGAAGCAACCCCCAGTTGTTTGGGAGAGCCGGCAGGTGGGCCCGAGTGAGCTCGTGAACCAGCGAGGTGCCTCGGACTCAGAATAGCGACCCCCTCTCCTGCTGCGAATCCAAGAACACTTACACGGTTTGTTCTGAGGTTCCTGGATCCTGGTTGACACCTGCATCCTGGTCAGCCGGGCTGTTACCATCACCCCCTCCAGCTCCCTGCTACTCCCCGCTGCTCCCCTGCGGCCTCGGGCTTTGCAAATCCCCTGCAGGAAACCCTTTCGCAGGGCCGGCTTCCTTCACACAGGTTTTCCTAAATGGGACGGCACGGACTCTCCCTGCCTCAATCAGCAGAGGCTTCCTTGGGCGGGCAGTGAAAGCCCTGA